CTCGGGTCTTCAGGGCCGGCTGCCGCTGCGCCGTGCGACTCGTGTTTTAAGGCTTATTTTAAGGGGCGAAACTGGGGGAGGCACGTTTCCAAAGCCGCTCTTAAAGGTTCCCCCTAGCAGGGCTCAGCGTCTTCCCTGAATTCTGTCATCCGTGCCGCGCTGACTTGGCTGTGATAACTCGGTTACCGAATCTGTAAAACGCCTGCGTAGGACCCTTCTCTAACCGCATGAACGTCCGGGGGGAACAGGCTTTACATACGCAGCCCGCTGTTCTTTCTTACTTTCTGTGGTATTTGCGAAGGCCAGACAAACGCACTCATTTGCACCAAGGTATAATGTGTCGGTCGTGATGGAGTAACAGCCATACATCAAGCTGACTTAAAAAGCCACTGCCCAAAGTGAAACGCCGTTGCACGTGACTAAACACTTTTGTACCTCTTCAGCGTCTCTCAGGCACAACCTCATTGCTTCAAGAGGACTGCTGCAGTGAGGCTTGCTTGTTGAGTAGAACTGTACTCGCGCTCACTACGGAGTTAACACAAAGTTGCCTGTGGTTATTCATAAGCTGAAAGAGTTTAGCAAATAAAGGCTGTATGACCTTCAGTGTGGGAGGTATTCAATAATACCTCTAAACAGAACACCTGTATTTTTTGTAGGTGAAAAAAAAGTGATTCTGGAAGTTACCATCTAGGAAATGTATATTCAGTCCATAGCGAAATAGTGGAACAAATGTTAAAAAAAAAAAAGTAAACATTTAGCAGAGAAGAAAGCGTGAGCTATAAGCCGCATCAGTACATAAAGATAGATAGTACTGGATGAACTTGATGACAATTGTAAATAAAACTGAAATGAACAAAAAGTACGGTAATTATACGTTAATGAAAAAAAGTTAAACATCTTGCAAAATCTTGCAAAATCATTTCAGATTGACTTGGTTATAGGCAGGTCACATGTAACAAAAGCTAATTTAAACTGTAAACAAAAGGTGTGATAAAAGGCACTGCAATGTGTTCTGCAGGAGCGTCTGCAGCCCTAGACTAACGTTTCTGGGATGAAGGCCAAGGCTTTGAAAGGTCCCTAGTCACCGTAGGAATCACCATTCCTTGGGTACCGTAATACTGCTGAGAATTTGTGCCAATACGACTTAGGAGACCAACCAGAAACGTAAAAAGGGAAGTATCTAGTTAGGCATACATTTACACTTTTGCAAAATCTGGCCTTTCAATTTCCTTTCTAGTCAACATTAGTTTATACTTGAATTTCAGGAGAATGGAGGGGTTGGTTGCTAGGTCACTGAGATGCTTGCAAGTATCTTCTCTGTCCTATTAGGGAACTATTTGTTGAGGAATCCTTTTAAACAGTTTACAAATGTATTCAAGTATAAGCTAAACCTTTGTGGAGTCTTTGCAATTTTATAATCAACGTTTGGAGTCATTTGGGTTAGGTTAGCATTAGGAGCTAGATTAGAAAGCACTGGTGGTGTTAGGTCCTGTATATTTGGAGTTCATGAGCAGGTCAAGGAACCACCAAGTTTCAACTATTTCTTTGAAATTATTACTACTGTAACAAGAGATGCGATGCCCAATTCCTAGATGTAAGATGCATTTTAGTTAACAGGAAAAACAGAGAAAGCAGCAAGCAAATTAAATTTGTAATTTGACGTTAAATTTAATGATGTTGCAAATACAAAAAAGACCAAAGAAGAAAAACAAAGGCAGCCAAAAATGCTGGGATATGGACAAGCGAAAGATAATACGTGCAGGGGAAATAGATCATTGATATTTATTTCAGAGAAAAAAGACATTTTGAATGTAGGAGTTTTGAAGGAAATCTTATGGTGTTTGTGAATGTCATAGAAATGAGCCAAGAATGCAGTATGGCTGGAAAAAAAAGCGTTGTTTTGGTCTCCAAGCACAGAAAGCCTCCTTCATCAGAGGAAGCCAGAGCTTAGGATTGCTCTGCTGAAAAATTTCCTGCGCCATTCAGATTTGGAAATCTTCATTTTGAAAAGGTAGATGCAATTTAAAGCAGAGATGACCAAACTACGTGGTGACGTTTTGCAGAAAAATTGCTGCTCATTCCGCTTTTTGTTGCCTACAAACTATCTTCTGTTTGTTGGCGAATCAGACTTCTTTTGAAAGCTAAGTGTTGGGACAGCAGAGTTAGCGAGAGAATCAGGGAGCTGAATAGGTGAGAAAAAGAGTGTTCCTCCTTTCCCACTCCTTTCCTTCCTGAGTACATCTGTAAAAGGGGAAACTGGGGAAGAGCAGTACCTGTTCTTCTATGGATCTGTTTGCCCAGGGCACGTGCTGCTTTTTCCCATCACTACTTCCTCCAGAGGCACCCACTCATTATCCCGTTTCTCTCCGCTTGCTCTCCTGTTCGCAGACGCATTTGTTCCTTCACCTCGCGCCCTCCACTCGCTCTGCACCAAACTGGAACCTCTTCAGCTCTCCCGTTCTGACCCCTCCCTATAAACCCATCATGAGAGTTCCCACGGAGGAACATAGTTAGGAAATAAAGGCATATGCTTCAGAGAACTGAGCAGAAACAGGCATGTCCTTTTATAGGAAGAAATTATACAGGTTTTGAGTGGGCTGAACTAGTGGGAGGAAGGAAGTATGATACAATGAGAAAGGGAGGTGCTAAATCT